CTTCTATAGCTGCGCCCTCATTTCCCACTTGGTCTTAGCTAGAACCCTTAATTAACAGACAACAACAGCGATACCCCCACTTTGCCTCTACAATCAGAAAGGCCTGTGAGCACCAGTTTTACCTCCTCTCTCGACTCTGCCATAACTAGCCTTTCCGTCCCTCCCTGTCTCCTACCCTGTGGAGATGCTTTCACTTCGTCCCAGCCCCTCTTATTTCTTGCCCCCTCCAAGCTTCCGCCACAACTATTCCCAATCTCCGGACCTTCCGGTCCGCCTTGGGCAGGTGGACACCGAGGACTGCACAACCCGGCTAGGATCAGCGTCCTCGACGCCCCCCGCAGCCCCCGGCTCCCACGGCCCGTCGACTCCTACCTTGAGGCGACCCAGTTCTTCCCCGCATTTGCTAAGATTGGGGCTTTTACGGTTCCACTCGCCCTTGAGTTGCTCGTACATCCCGGCTGCCGCCTGCAGGACCGCGCCCGAGGCCGCCGCCGCGGTGCTCGAGACTCCGGCCGCCCCGTCCACCGTCGCAGCCGCCATCTTCCGTGATGCGGCAAACCTCCCGCCCGGCTTACGGCAGCGACGCCTCTGAAGGCTCGCTCGCCGGCGGAAGTGGGGCCGGGAGGTGGAGCCCAGGGCCGGGGGCGGGGCTAAGGCTGCAGGCCCGCGTCGGCGGTGGGCGGTGTGAGGTCGCTGCCGGACTGGCGCCCTGGAAGCCCTGCCCTTAATGAACATGTCACTTGGAGCTCCGCCTTTGCTGTCACTCAAGATGGTGACCGGAAGTCGGTTTGTCCTAACTGACTAACACCGCGGGCTCATAATCCCGCCCAACTCCAGTAGTTAATATGGCCGCCCTGGCTTCAACCACGCGTTCAGAACCCTAGATTACTGCCTCGAGCTTCCCTAGGCAGTTTCTGTAAACCAAGAGGTGGCGATGTGGAACCATTTGGACAGCTCTGTTACTTTATAGACAAACTGGTAGAACCTGGGTAAATTTCCAAAGGGTTACCCGTGAGAATTTGAACCTAGGTCTCTCCAATCTCTTTCTCAGTTATCAAATCTTTCGGCATTTATCTCTTACAAATAAACACAGACTATTTACAACAATTGAGTCCTATGTCTTTTTTTTTTTTTTTTTTTTTTTGAGACAGGGTCTTGCCATGTAGTTCAGGCTTATCCTGACCTCCTCTTTGTAGCTCAATCTGACCTCAAACTTGTTTGTTTGGTCTTGTTTGTTTTATTTTGTTTTTAAATGTATTTTAGTACAGGGCCTATAGGGTCTCACTGCACAGATCAGACTCATAGCGATCCTCCTGTTTTCAGCCCCCCAAAGGCTGGGATTACAGGCACTTTGCCAGCATGCCCAGTCTCAGCTGTATCAGTGCGCCCTGGGGGTGGGGCCTGCACAGCACACTGGGAATCAAACCCCACTGAGCTATCTAGCCAGCCCTTGACCCTAAACTTGTGATGATCCTCCTTGCCTCACCCTCTTCAGTGTTAGAATTGAAGGTGAATGACAGCAGGCCTGACCAAGTTTTGACATTTTGTCTGGTTTTTTTTTGTTTGTTTGTTTTGTTTTTTTTTTGAGACAGGGCCTTACTACATAGTTCAGGCTAATCTTGACTCACTATTTAGCTCAGGCTGGGCTTAAATTTATGACAATCCTCCTGTTTCAGTCACCTAAGCACTGAGATTACAGGTGTGCATCACCATACCTGGATATTTTAAATTTTGAAATCAGAAAATCCAACTTTGTTCTGCTGTTTCAAGACAGTTTGGGCTATTTGGAGTTCCCTAAAATTCCAAATAAAATTTAGGATGAGTTTTTCTATTTTTACAAAATTGTCATTAGGATTCTCAAAGATTGTATTGCATCTGTATGTATTTTGGGGGGAAGCTGGTTTATGTCCCTCTCCCACTCCTAATTAATATATTGAAGCCCCAGTTCCTAATACCTACAAATATGCCTGCATTTGGATCTGAAATAGGGCCCTGAAAGAGATAGTTGAGTTAAAATAAGACTTCAGCGTTGGCCTAATGCCTACAATCTGATTGAAGTCATTATAAGAAGAAATCTCAGCTCACACCCAAGCCTTTGTTCCCTCATCTGTGGCATGGACACAATGATAGAATGTTCCTGGGTCATTGGAAACAACCTCAGTAAAGGGATCCAAACATAACATTCTATCATCACGTTCTTCTATCATTGATGGGTTGATTTTGTGACAGATAAGTCTGGTCTGGTGATTTCAGTGATGGTTGGTCTGGGGTACACCTGACTCCTGGGTGGCTTCCACACCCCTCACACCATCATCGTAATTGGCCTCAGGATCTCTTCCAAACCTGCTACTTGTCCCTGGTCCTCATTCTGGGTCTTCTAAATGTCTCCCTCGCTCCCAGCTCTCCAGGCCCTGCAAGCCCCAGATTATTCTTAGCCTCGTACACATTCCTCCCACCTTCCTCTCCTTTTCCCCACCCCAGGCTTTAGTTTAGCCCAGCTCCTTTCTGCCCAGGTCCCTGCTGCAGTGCCTCCCCAGTAAGGCCATAGTTACTCCACCTAAAGCCCTGGGAAGGTGCTGAAGTTTGAAGCTACTAGGTGGGCAAGGACTCGGCTTCACCTGTCCAGTCTCCTCTTCTCACTCCAGACAGCTGGATTTCCTCAGAAGTGCCCTCCCCTCACAGGAACAAAAGACTGGGATTAACTGCTCTCAGCTCCAGGAGTAGCATCTGATTGGCCAGTTGACGCTCCATCCTTCTGGCAATGTGATTTGTAGGGTGGTGATCTTCTGACCCAAATTCACCCATCAGAATGACTGACAACTTTTGGTTGAAAATATTGGGCATGCTCTCTCTCTCTCTCTCTCTCTCTCTCTCTCTCTCTCTCTCTCTCTCTCTCTCTC